GCTCCACTAAATCAATCTAGTCACCTGAAATCAGAAATGATCCGGCCCTGCTCAGCCTGGCCTCTGGCCCCGTGCCAGATTGGATCCTGCCAGGCGAGCCCAGCAGTAGGCCTGAGCAACTGATGTTCATTAATAGGAAACCTCGGAGTGGTTAATTGGTGTTTATTTCCCTAGGTGCACACCTCCGAGTTGACTGATGAGGCTGCAGCTGCCAGCCCCAGGCAGAGGGAGGAACTGGCTAAGAGGACTGTGCCCGGGCCCTTCCCATGGCCAAGCTCCAGCTCTGACTGACTACTGCATGAGGAGAGAGAGAACCCTATCTTTGTACATTCAGTCCCCCTCACCCTGCTTCCACTGCAGCACGTGCATCTGAAGTCAGACACACCTGCTAGGCCCCCAGCTCGGGAGCTGGCGCTGTGATCTCGGGCAAGGCCCTTGGCCTCTCCAAACCTGTTTCTCCATTTTCTGCAGCAGCAAACTCTAAAGCAGATGAAGCACATATTCCAGGGTCAGGCATACAACAGATGTTCAGTATCTTTATCCCTGTGGACTCTCAGGTGACCCGTGGGCCCTTCAGTCTTATTTTTTTTGTGTGTGTGTGTACCATCAAATCAGACCTGACTGGCACAGGAGGAGAGTGCCCCTCCTTTTCCAGCAAAGCATCTGGTGGATTCGAACCACATATCTCTGGAATTGCAGTGCAGCTTCTGGAGGCCCCTCAATCTTAATGTCAGCATCTTCTTTCCAAAACCATGCCCCCTCAATTGTCATCATCCGTCACCCAAGCCAGAAGTGTGAGCTGTCACTTGGACATCTCTTTCCCTCCTCACTCTCAATATTTACTCACCGAATGCCAACAACTGCACTCTGTAAGTCTGGCTTTCCATCTGTCCACACCTCTCCCCACTGCCACCATCTTAACTCTGGATTGTCACAGCAAGTTCCTACCTGCTCTCCCCGCCCAAATTCTCCTTGGACGCTCCCTCCGCACCCAAGCCTACTGAGGACATTTCTAAAGAAGGAAAATGACTTCCTGTGTTGTCCAGCATCTCTCCTCTGTGCAGAGCTTTCTGTGGCTCCCCATTGCCCTCGGGACAAAGCATAATCTCAGTCTGAGATGTGACAAGCAGCTTCCTTTGGGCCAGGTCTTCCGCGACCTCTCCTGCATTCCCTGCTGGTCACCCTCAGGCAGCACGCTGACTCCAAGCTGGACACCACCGTTTCTATCTCTTCCCCACTGTCCTGAAGAACTTCAGGACCTGCACAGTGCCAGCCCCTCCCAGAAGTCTCTCCTCTGGGCTCCCACAATTCCCTGTGCGTCTGGAGCTCTTTTCCCTGCAGAAGAGCCCTGTGCCAGGTGGTGCTCAGATATGAATGCAGCATCACGTCCCTAAACAGGAGAGGGAGGCTTCAAACAAACTGAAACTGCAGTCTTCAGACCTTCCTCCCTTCAAGAGGGGCCCTTCCCTGGACCCTCAGGCTGCCCCAGGACCAGCCCAAGTGAGCTCTTCTGGACACTGGGTGGCAGCAACCCGCCTGTGCTCCACCCCCACTCCTCAGTCCCCTCTGTCACCACTGGTCGCTGAGCATTCAGCTAACCAAATCATCAAGACCATCTGCTCTTCTGAGCCTTCCATTAACCCCCTGAAGTTGTCCCAGGAGCCTCGGGGGCCAAGCCCAGGCCCAGTGACAGGGCATTAATATTCTAGGCAATAATAATTTCACTGGCTCTCAATGGCTTTCCTTGCCTGGACCCACCCAGCAACCTCTGGATTGGTCTCCTGGCTTGTGGTCTGGCCCTTCCAACCCCACCTTCTCCAAACAACAACCTGGGGGGCCTTGGTGAGGCTGTAGGATGGGGTTCCAACAGCAAGCATAGGCGGTCCTCCCACTCTCACAGCCTCCCTGTCCCCCACCACCTGCCCCCAGCTTCACCAAGAACCTGCTTAACTCCACGAGGACCAGGTATTGGCACAAGCTTTCTTCTAGCTGACTGTCCTCCCACGTTCTTCCAGGACAATGCTTATTAACTGTCACCTCCTCTGGGATTCCTGCTTGGATTGCCCCAGGAAGGCAGCACTTCCCGACCTGCATGTCCTTCTGTCTTGCTGTCATCTCGTTGGTACTGTGCTTTCTTTCGGGGTCTGTCTCTCTGGCCAGGCTGTGAGTTCCCAGGAAGCAGGCATCAGGCTGCCTCAGCTGCCCTTGCCTTCTCCTCAAAGCCTCACTCAAACGTTTTGAGGACATAGGAAAAGAAAGGTAGGGTGTGCCTCAGCTGGCACTTCTGTCCTTGGGTATCAAGTGTCTGCGCTGTGTCAGCTATGTGCCAGGCACAGCTGCCTCTGCCAGGAGTGGCCCCAATGGGCGCCCCACTGGGCGAGGGGACCCAGTGCTGCAGCCAGACTGAGTGGACAGGTGCCCATCAGCCAGAAGAACAGAGGCCTGGCATTGAAGGCCACTGTGTAGAGCTTCCCATCACCAATCTCCTCACCAACCTCCTTCCCAGGCCTGGGATTTCAGGCAGGTTCAAATTCTGGGTCACCTCCTTCCCCTTGCCTCATCCCTCCCTGGAAGTAAACCCTTCTGGGCTAGTCACCCATCTGTACCACAGGTAACTGTGAAGGAGCAGTTGTGTGGCAGGGCGCTTGGACCCCAGTTAAGCCCCTCCTGGGGGATTTTGGCCCTGACTCCCACTGCAGAAACACTGGCGTTTGGCATGCAGTGACCCTGTCAGCTGTCAACCATTTCCTGATGCTGTGTGGGCTTCCAGGCCTCAGGCCGGGTTTGGAATCCTAGTTCTGGTCAATCGGTCTCACTTCCTGAGCCTCAATCTCTTCCTCTGGAAATGGGGATAATATCAGGCCTGACAGGGCTCTCGGGAGGCCAAGGGCAGCATGAGTGATGACCACAGGGCTAGGAGACACACCTGGGCGTGAGGAGTGGGCAGCACCCTCACCCACCCCCCTGCAGAGAACAGGCCTCTTGCGGGGATCCTAGGCTTCACTGGGGACCCCCGTGCAGAAGCGTGACAGAGAGCAGGGGCTGGCCCTGGCTGTGACCCCTTGAAGTGGCGCCTCTGGAATCAGGGTCTCAGTCTCCCCCTCTGCGGGGTGGGAGGCAGTGATGGGGCATTTGGCATCTGCCTCCTGTCCGCAGGGGCCTCCCCAGGGTGCCCAGATTTGCCCACAGCCTCTGAAAGAGTCCAGGGGCGCCATGGAAGCCGGGTGTCAGTTCTCAGCCCAGAGCTCATAAACATTATTGACGTGTGGCAACGGTGCTGCGGGGGAGGGAGGCAGGCAGGTGGCTCTGAAACCATTGGAGCTGATTGATTGGTTAATTAGTGGGTTTCCACAGCAGTGTGAGGGACAGGGAAGGAGGTGGCCACAGGGCAGCTGGACGACTGGGAGGCCAGCTGGGGCTCAAGAGTGTCTGCATGCTCAGCTGAGACCGGAGCACTGAAGAGCTGAATGGATCTGGCCAGGAGTGGGATGAGGGAATGTGAAGCCCGGGGGATGGCCAAATGGGCCCGCTGACCCGAGGACCAGAACTTGATCAGGAGACTGCCGAAGATGCAAGGAGGCAGAACATCCAGCTGGTGTGGAGAGCTGCTCGTTTAGGCAAGAGGGATGACACAGAATCAGAGAGAATCAAGACAAGTCCCGGAAAAGTGAGAGGTCTAAGTGACGGAGGAGGAAGAGCAGGGAGTAGAAAGGTGGATAGTTATGGGGCTGAATTCAGCCTCTGCCACTTACTAGCTGCGTGACTCAGACAAACCACCAAACGTCTCTGTTCTTTGATGTCTGTATCTGCGTTATTGTGTGACACCGAATTGTCTTTCCACTCCTAGTGACTGCAGGTAACAAGAGTAGAACTGTCCCCACCAAGTTTTCTAGGCTGTCATCTTTTTAGAAGCCAATTTCCAGGTCTTTCTGCTATGGAGTCTCTGAGTGGGTTTGAACTCCCAACATTTCAGTGAGGGAGCAGCTGAGAGCTTACCTGTGCCTCACAAGGGCGCTATTATATCTTTAAAGCAGGGCTAATCACAATAACTTGGCAATGCTGGTTTGAGGATTAGACTGAAGCACACCAGGATGAGTGGCATCACCTGGAAAGGCCTTCTGCTGTGGTCGATTCGGATCTGTAGCGATCCTATGGGCCCATTGGGGTTTCCACAGGGACCTCTGGTAGCCTAATGGGTAAGGAGCTGCGCTACCAACCCAAAGGCTCTTGGTTCTAATTTACCAGCTTCTAAGCCCAAAACAGATGGGCAATCCCCCATTAACAGCCTGTGAAAATCCGCTGGAGGGTCCCCTAGGAATCAGTTCCCACTTGACAAAACAATAACAACGTTTTCAAGGCTATAAATCACAGATTTATAGCAGGAGCAGAGCAGTGGAAGCAGAGGCCCCCATCTTTCTTCCGAGGAAGTGTGCTGACCGCCTGAGCGCCTCATGAATACATAATCCCAAACACAACTGCTATTGTGTTAACCTTACCGCCCCCCCCCCCCCCCCTGCGTGGGGCCAGAGTAGAACCACCCTGCAGGGTTTCTGAGGCTGTCCATCTTTGCCCAAGTGGATTGCTGCTGTCTTCCACAGCTGGTGGGTTGGAATCACCGCCCTTTTTGGTTAGCAGTCAAAGGTTTCAACCGCACAAATGTCTATGAAAATATTGGTGTGTAAAAAAAAAAAAAAAGAAAAGAAAAGAAAATACCAGAGAAGGACTTGTGACAAAGAAGGGGTGTGGTACTGAGTGCTGGAGGAAGTGTAACCTATTTGGAGGATGGGCAGAGGGACTGGCTCATGAGGGAGTCTGGAGGTTATGCCGCTAGGGGGTTGGTGCCCCAGCTCAGCCATCGCGGCACCAAGGAGCTTGGGCAAGTCGCTCAGCCCTCTTGAGTGCTCTTGAACTTCGACCCTTCCCCTAACCTTGAGGTGTCCTGCCGTTGGGGAAGAGTAGAAAACAGACAGACGGGTACCCAGCAAAGTAAGGAGCAAAGTTTATTGGTGTCCCGGGAGAAACAGGGCCGGTTCTCCCTGTCCAGGGCGCGCAGCCTCCTTCTCGGGGCCCCAGGCCGCCGGCAGCCTCCCGCGAGGCCGAGCGTCTCCGGAGCAGCCGGCGGGGTCCGAGGAGGCCGGGCGGACCCGGCGGAGAGCTCGGCGGGCGCCCTGGGGGCAGCGCGCGCGGCGACGGCGGCCGCAGGGCCACAGGCGGCGGAAGCGCGCGCGGAAGTGGCGCGAGGCGAGCGCGTAGACGAGGGGGTTGAGGCAGGAGTTGGCGTAGGCGAGGCAGTGCGAGGCCAGGCGGCAGGCATAGGTGGCCGGGCTGAAGGCGAAGCGGCCGAACCAGAAGCAGAGGATGAGCGCGTGGTGCGGGCCCCAGCAGAGCGCGTACACCGCCGCCACCGCCAGCATGGCGCGGCCCGCGCGGCCCGTGGCCCTCCGCCTAGCCTCCGCCGCCGCGCCCGCCGGCCCCACGGCTGCCCACAGGAAGCACAGCGTGCGGCCGTAGGCCAGGCTCACCACAGCCACCGGCAGCAGGTAGCCGGCGGCGAAGGTGACCACGTCGAGCGCGCGCCGGCGCGCGTCCTCCCAGGCGGGCACGCAGAGCTCAAGTGCGCCATAGCGCACGGTGCCGTAGTAGCTAAGGTAGGGCGCCGAGAAGAGCGCCGCCAACAGCCAGACCAGGCCCACAGCGGCGCGCGCATTGCGAGGGGTGCGCAGGGCCCTTGAGCGCAGCGGGTGCCGCACGGCCAGGTACCTGGAAGCGGGAGCCTGGTTAGCGCTCGGGCGGCGGCGGGGGGCCCTCCCCGCGGCGCCCTTCTACGCCCCCTACACTGACACAAGTCTCTACCTTGGCCTCTTTGTCTGAAAAATGGGGATGACAGCGCGCCTTCCCTCCGCGGTAATTAGGGAGCAGAGCGCTTAGCGCTGAGCCTGCAGCCTGGCACCTAGCAAATGCTGAGTAAGTGGTCGATGCTATTGAATGCAACCGTTTCACGTGCAAAGGAGCCCTGGTGGCGCGACGATTAAGCGCTCGGTCGGTCGGCTTATCAGTTGGAACTGACCCAGTGGCTCTGCGGAAGAAAGTGCTGGCGATCTGTCTTGGTAAAGATTAGTTTACAAAGCTCTAAGGGGCAGTTCTACTGTAGCCACATGGGGTCGCTGTGGGTCGAGGATCCGCACCACAGGCCCCCAGCAATAGCTTCTGTATAGGTTGAATGAGAGATGAGAGAAGTGACTGGCCCGAGATCATTTGCTAAAGAATGATGAGAAATTTAATCCTAAACCATGAAAACAGGTGTGAGCAGAACGTGGGCCAGGTGCGGGCCATAATAGTTGATGAGTTCATTCATATATCTCTCCTGTCATTCATTGCATGTTTAGAGAGCATCGACCGTGTGCCAGGCTCTGTGTGGGCACAGAGGACAGAAGTGCCCTGGAGATGTTAACAGTGAGGCTGAAGAGGACTACAGATGGTCTCTGCACGCACACCTACAAACGTCTGGGAATTAGTGGGGGGACAGCAGACTTCTTCCCGCAACCCCACCCCCACCTTTCTAAGGCTCTTGAGCACCTGTTCGAGTCCTCCCTCCCCAGCCCTGCACACCTGTCCACGGAGACAGCGGCCAGGGTGAAGCTGCTGGCATACATGGTGAGGTAGATGAGGAGGTGAACGGCCTTGCAGACCAAAGCCCCAAAAAGCCAGGCATCCAGCGTGTAGATGGCAGCCTGAAAGGGCACACAGCACAGGATGAAACACAGGTCGGCCACGGCCAGGTTGAGGATGAACAGGTCCGTGGTGCTGCTGGGCTCCTGCCAGGCACCTGGGCCAGGCTGCAGCAGCACAGCCAGCACCAGCCCATTGCCCACTGTGCCCAGCAGGAAGATGAAGGCAAAGACCACTGGCACTGCCACGGCCCCCACACTTCCTGTACTGTCCAGCGAGATGTTCTGGGCATCGGCCATCTCCCCATCAGACAGGCACCTGGAGGAGAAAAGGTGGAGTCTCAGGCAGGAGCCCCTAGCTCTGGTCACTCAGTGCAGGTCAGTTCCCTCAGCCTGAGATTGACTAAGTGTCCTGGGCTAGACGCAGTGGACACCGGGGAGAGCGAGAAAGTCATCAGAGAGCCCCTGTGAATCCCTGGAATGGGGGTCCTTGGTTTCTTACGGACAGCTCTACAACCCAGGGCTTGGAGGGCTGACAGTAGTTAATGGACAGCTCTGCTTCATGGAGCACGTGCAGTGTGAAGACATGGTGGGCTAGGGGGGCAGCCTCAGTTCCTGGAGCTGGTATACTCTCCTGCCTTTTCACTGAGGTTGTGAATACAGTCAGGGGAGGACCCTTCAACCTGGGTTAAGAGCCTTCATCAAGCTCTGAGCTGTACAATACAGGTGACATTCCTGAGTCACTGAGACAGTCCAGCCTCAGTGTGGTGCCTGCAGTGGGTCAGGTGGGAGGGGTACAGATCACTCCTGCTTTTGCCCATGAGGAAACTTGGGCTCAGAGTGGGACATGAGAGGCCAAGGTCATGCTTAGAGCAGCAGACCTGGGACTGCGGCCCTGTTACCCCAACTCCCAGGCTGGCGGCTGAGCGGAGTCGGTAACAGGTGGCGCCTCTGACAGCCTGCATGTGAGCGCAGCGGGTGCTGACACCCTCACCCTGCTGTGCCCCACAGTGCTCACCAGCTACCTCTCAGTGTGGGGACCTCTGGGGTAATGAGACAGATTAGGGGGTACAGGGAAAGAGAGGGGGAAAGGCAAGATCTCCTCCTGCCCCAGCACCCAACATGCAGCACCCCCAAAACAAAAAAATGGCCCACACTCACCCTGACCCTAGAGCCTGGGCCCCTGCTTGGTCCTGGAGGAAGCGGCCAGGCGGGGGCTCCTCCTGGCTCAGCCGCTGCCCCTTGGCGCCTCCCGGCAGGTCCAGGTCCAGGGCTGCCTCTTGCCGCTCTCTCTTCTCCGTTAAGGCCCCTCCTCTCCTCTGCTGAGCTGACTAGGGCACTCCCACCAGAGTGGCCACTGGCCACCTCCTCCTCAGCCCAATGTCCCTGGGCAGCATGCTCTCTGCCTGGCTCCTCTCTGCGTTGCCTTGCCTCTTTCTCTTTTCTGCAGCGAGTAACCCATTGATCCCACTCTCAGAGATTTGCTTTCTAGTTAACCCCTCCATGCCTGGGGCCCAGCCCATTCCTAGCCCTCCAGTTCGTGTTCCTGCCAGTTCTACTCTGTCCCTTCAAGCAGGGCTTCAGATCCAGTGTCAGATAATTTGCCTTGGATGGGGCGTCCCAGACTGGGAGATGAGAATACGACTCCCCTTTCTATAGGAGCCCTCCCTTACTCCTGGTACTGTGTGCTCCCCAAAACCCATCCACCTCTCTAAGCTTGTTTTAGGGGTCCAGTCTGGCTGAAAACCAAAGGGTTTGGGTGTCTGTCCAGTGTGACTTTATTTAGTCTGAGGAAATAGGGAGCTGGTGATGGTTCTAGAGCAGGGGATATAATGTACTTATTTCTTTTGTAGGAAGATTGCTATGACCCATGGTGAAGGGATGGACATGACGTGGAGAGATCTGATGAACAATCCATTAGAAGCCTCTTGTTCGGGCTGAAGAGGCTGATAGGTTTTGGTGAATGACTGTGTGAGTCAGTCATGGGTTTCTGACTGCACGAGCCAGAGTCATAGGCTTCCAGAGAATTCCAGAAGCGAGTTTCTGCAGGGTGGGGGCTCTGGATTCAACAAGGAGGCTGTTAGAAAACTGAGCAGAGCAGGTCATCAATGTGGGTGATAAGGAAGGTGAGGGAAGGAGTGGTCTTTCTAGGAGCTGAGGAGTGGGGGGGATTTCAAGGGAAAATCGGTGAAAATTGAAAATTTAACAACAGGGACAATGCTGGAGGCAGAGCTCAAAACCCCAGCCCTGAGAAGACACTCCTCAGAAGCAGGTGTTGGTGGGTTCTGGGGGTTCTGAGCAGGGCTCAGTCAAGTCTATGCCTCAGCCCCCAGCCTGAGAAGTCACTCCTCAGAAGCAGGCCCTGATTGGTCCCCGGGGTTCTCTGCAGTGCTCAGAGGGGGTCTCAAGTCTATGCCTTACCCCCCAGCCCTGAGAAGAAACTCCTCAGAAACAGGTCCTGATGGGTCTCGGAGGTTCTCAGCAGTGCTCGGAAGGGTCCCCCAAGTCTATGCCTCAGCCCCCAGAAATCACTCCTCAGAAGCAGGTCCTGGCGAGCTCTGGTGGACTAGTGGCAAGAAGCTGCACTGCAATCCCCAGAGGTGTGTGGTTCAAATCCACCAGATGCTCTGCTGAAGAAGGAGGGACAATCTCCTCCTGTATCAGTCCGATTTGACGGTACACACATTAAAAAAATAAGAAAAGAAAAAAAGAAGCAGCAGCAGGTCCTGATTGGTCCTGGGGGTTCTCAGCAATGCTCAGAGGCGTTCCCCCAAGACTATACCTCACCCCTCAGCTCTGATAACTAACTCCTCAGAAGCAGGTCCTGATGGGTCGTGGGGGCTCTTAACAGTGCTCAGAGGGGTCCCCCAAGTCTATCCCTCGGCCCCCAGCCCAGGTACAGATTCCAGCTCCTTGATTCAATTCTCCTGGTTCTGGAATTTAGGCTGGAAGCAGGGACATGCTGAATTGAAGAACTTGAGCAGCTGACCTGGAGTCTCCAACCTAAATTCCAGAACCAGGAGAATTGAATCAAGGAGCTGGAATCTGTCGCTGGGTTCCATACCGACTGACTGGCTGGACTCCAGCGAGAGTGCAGGAGCCCTGGTGGGTAGTGCATGCTGGGCTGGCCAACCTCGAAGGCCAGTGGCTCGAATCTACTAGGTACTCCAGGAGAGAAACAGCCCCTAAAACCCCTCTAAAGGGTCTGTTTACTTCAGTTCAGACTCAAAGGCAGTGTGTGTGTGTTGCTGTTTTTTTATTTTCTGGCAGGGAAATTAATGTACTGTTTGGCTGGGATGTGGCCTTCTTGAAGCCTGAACCTCAGCACCTCACTAGAAGGCCCCTTCTCCAGATAGGGCTTCACAGGACCCAGGGCAAAGAGCTTCCTGTAACAGCAGCAGAAAGGCTCAACTGATGGTGGGCATCTGGGGAGGAGGGACATGGGGCTGAGGTAGGGGATGAACTAAGGCCCCCAGTGTGCCCCTCTCCGCCACCTCCTCCAATTTTGCTACTAGCAGCCCTGGAGCCTGCTGGGGACAGCAGGTATTGGGAGAGGTCCCTAGAGCTTTCAAGCTGGCATCAGCCCCTCAGGCACCTATGACTTCTTCTGGATGGCTGCCAGCAGAGACAGGAGCCAGCAACTGGGGGATCTGACCCAGCAGGATCTGACCAGCAGGGATGTGACCAGCAGGAATCTGACCCAGCTGCTCACCAGTGGGAGGCAGTGTGCTTGCTGGCCGATTCTCCTTGTACCACCTCACACAGATTGTGACATGTGGCCTCTTGGCCACTCATGGCTTCCCAACTTGACTTGGCTTAAGCAGGGCACACCTCCCAAGCGTCAGGCTGTGACAGAGGACCTGGCACCAGGTGCCCTCTGAGGTGGTGGCCTGCAACTGTGTGAACCATGTGGCTGTATTCTTCTTAGGCTTGGCCTGCATTCTGCCAGCATCATCCCAACCTCAGTGCTCCTGGGTCCTCAATTACGAGTTCCTGCACCCCAGATCTAATGCCTGGCTCCATTCTGCAGGACCTTGCCCAGACTGTTCACAGAGGCAGAGCGCTGGGCTGGGCGTGGGCGTGCTGGAAAGGCAGGCTAGTTCCTTGGTGTTAGTGAAGGGCCCTCATCCTCTAGTCCCCCCTCCTGCAATCTCCCAGCTTTCCAAGGCCACACCAAGTGCACTGCAGCTCCAGTCACCCAGAGCCCACCCACTCCCTCTCTGGAGGGACCAAGGGCAATGACTGTGGTGAGGGGAGCTCTTCCAGCTGGGGAGCGGGGAGCACAGAGTGAAGGAGAGAACTGAGGGCCTTGGCAGCAAATCGCTGGGCCTGGCCTTGCCTGTGAGGCCGGCCCACCAGCTGCTGCCCAAGGCCTCGAGGGGGCGGGGCGGCCAGAGCTCGCTTCGCCCCCTGGCGGTTGGTCATCCAGCCACTGGGCCTCAGTGAGGGCTTGAATGTAACATCACTCAGATGTTAACATCGTTCCTCTCGGGTCAGTGGGGTTAACTGTGTGCTGGAGAAGAGTACTGAATATCCCACGAACGGCCAAACATACATGTTTTAGAGAAGGTGCAGCCAGAGTGCTCCTTGCCGGCAAAGATGGTGAAGCTTCATCCTTGGAGAGGGACTTCACGCTTGGAAAGGTGGAGGGTGAGACCCTCACCCAGATGAACTGACACAGTGACTGAAGCAGTGGGCTGAAGTGTGTCAGAGGTTGTGAGGATGGCACAGGACAGCACAGGGTTCTGTCCTATTGTTCGTAAGGTCACTATGAGTCACACTGGACCTACAGCACCTAACAACATAAACATAGGGAATGAGAAGTGTCCAAGGCTAGAGGCAGGGACAAAGGCTCCGAGAATGCCCAAGGCTCCTTTAGTCATGACCACCATCCTGGGTCCCTGTTTTCTTTGGAGTCTCAATCATTAGTCTCTCCTTCTGAACATGGGTCTGGGAATCCCGTCTTCTTATCTGGGCAGCTGTCTGGCAAGTCTATGCTGGGGAACAGAGGGTGAGGCATTCACCATGGCTTGACCGTCCTGGACGGTGGGCATGGAAAAGCTGCCCACACCTGAAACAGGCAGTGGCCTCTGTGGGCCTTCATGCTACCCAGGCCCCACCTTAACATGGCCGATCCGCGGGGCCTCCCAGGATCCTGCCTGCAGTGTGCCCAGCTCCTGCCCAACTCTATTTAGCTGCAGGCCGCGGGGACGGAATAAAAGAGACACGCATTCCAGCTGGTCAGCACTCTTTGTTTTACACTCACAGCTGTCAGAGGTCACGGGCATATCCACACCCAGACCCAGGACTCTGGTTTGTGGCTTGGCGCCTCTGGCCCGGGCTCATCAAAGGCCCCTCCGTCACTGTGGAGGAAGGAAGGAGGGAGGTGGTCTGCGCTCAGGGCAGCGCCCCGTGCAGCCTCCCCACCTCCACGAAGGCCTGCACGCAGCGGTCGATGTCCTCCTCGCTGTGCACCGCTGAGATCTGCACGCGGATCCGGGCCTTGCCCTTGGGGACCACAGGGTAGCTGAAGCCGATGACGAAGATACCTGGGAGGGCAGAAAGTCACCTGGGCTCACCAAAGTCACATGGGTTCAGGGGATGTGACACTCAGCTCCCACTTCCCTGAGGCCCAGAGGACAAGGGAGCCAGCAAGGTCCCCTAGGGTGGTGGCCTGAGGCTCTCAAGCTGGTCCAGGCAACAGCAGGTAAGGGAGGTGTTCGGAGTCCAGGGGCTCCCCTCCCTTTCCTCATGAGGTCTCTGTTGTCCTGGTCCCCTCACCTTTTATTTATTTATTTATTTATTTTTTCACATCAGACGGGTCGTGTGCCTGTTTCATAACAAGGTTTAAAGAGTGGCTCAGATCATCCAGAAGAATGAACCGGAAAAGGATCCCTCACCTCTTTTTATTTTTTTATTATTTTGTGTGTGTACCGTCAAATCGGATCTGACTGGTACAGGAGGAGATTGTCCCTCCTCCTTCAGCTGAGCATCTGGCAGATTCAAACTGCGAGCCTCTGGGATTGCAGTGCAGCTTCTTGCCACTAGGCCACCAGAGCTCCCTCCCTCACCTCTCTTGAGCATGTCGTCAGCCATCCGAGATGCCAGCCGTGCATCGCCCAGCATCACGGGGCAGATAGGATGACCGGCTCCTGAGATGGTGAAGCCGGCGGCTTCCATCTTATTGCGGAACCTGCGGGCAAGAACCGAGCGTCAGTGGCAGCTGGGGTATCCTCACCTGCTCCTGGGGGGCATGTGGGCCAAGATCTGTCTGCAGAGGGACAGATGGGAGGGCACGAGAGGGAGACGAGAGCCATCTGTGGAGAAATGACCCACAGGGGTGGTGGGAGGCCGACGGAGAGAAGCCGAGGAGGTGGGCAGGGAGCAAGCAGGCCGACCCTGAGCTGCCTCCACAAGGTGACAGGAGCAGACGCGGAACCCGAAGGCACTGAGCCACAGGCTGGGGCCACGTCTCCCACCCCAGCCCGCCCTGTCCCCCCAAGGGCTGCACCGGTGGGTCTTGGCAGCCATTGACTGGATGATGGCATTGCTCTCCATAAGCAGATCCAGGGCCTTGGCGGCACAGCCGACGACAGCCGGTGGCAGGCTGTTGGAGAAGAGGTAGGGCCGGGCACGCTGCCGCAGAAGGGACACCAGCGGCGCTGGCCCTGTCGTGTAGCCCCCTGAGAACGAGGGTGGTGGTCAGAGGCTAAAAGAGTCATCCTACCCGAAGCCCCTCCTGAGAGTGTGAGGCACATGCACCCCTCTTCTCTGCAGTCCTTGTCTGCCCATCTCCTCCCTTCATGGCCTGGCAGGTGGGTGAGGGGACCTGAGGGCACCTGAAGCTCCACCCAGCGCCTTCCCCAGTGTGGAGTTGATGATGGTGACCTGGTCCATCACACCCAGCAGCTCGTCGGTGCCCCTGCAAGGGAAGGCGCCGCTGCTGCCACAGGCCGCTTGAGAGCCCAGGGATCTTGGGTCGCTGGGGTGGGAGTGGTCTCCCTGTTCTCCACCCCCCCTCAGAAGCCCAACCCTGAGCCTCAGGCGGTACACGAACCCACCGTCCGGTCGGCCCCAGGAAGCCAGTGGCGTGGCACTCATCCACGAAGACCAGGGCACCATATCGAGAGGCCAAGCGGCAGATGTCCTGCAGGGGCGCGATGTCACCGTCCATGGAGAAGGCCCCGTCAGTGGCCACCAGCCGCAACCGATGCTTCTGCAGGGGACACACAGGCAAGATCTGGCTGGCACAGGGAGTGGGGATGCACCTCCCTCCCTGTAACCATTTCTGCACTGGGCACCTTGTCTAATGCGCAGCAGAGATGGGCTGGCAGCACAACTTTCTACGGACTACAGATCACAGCTCCCCTGCCATGCAACGAGGGGAGCACACGATGGCCCCCAGTGGCGGCGACAGCCCCCAGTGGCGGCAACACGGCCTCCCTCTGCTCTGGCTCCAGCCTCACCCAACTCTTCAAGGCAGACTGAGCAGTATTTAGCTGCAGGCAGAACGGTTCACTCTGTGCAAGCTACAGGAGGGCAGGGTAGAGCTGGGTCCATTCCACATGCCCGTCACTCCCTTATATCCAGCAGAGGGCCTGGCACAAGCTTCCTCAAATTCAAGGCAGCGTGCTACAGTGGAGTAAGCAAGGCTGTGGGGTCTGAGGGGTTTGAGGTTGAATCCTGGCTGTTTGGTTTCCAGGCTGTTTGTCAGTGTGAGAGGAGCTGGCTTCTTTTCCTTCACCACTGGGGACTTGAGGCTGTGCCTGGCACTTGCCGTTGGGCTGCACCCACCTGGGCCTCCTGCAGCTTGGCCTCCAGGTCAGCCATGTCCAGGTGGCGGTACCGGTACTTGTGGGCCTTGCACAGACGGATGCCGTCGATGATGGAGGCATGGTTCAGCTCGTCCGACAGGACTGCGTCCTCTGGGGTCAGCAGGGCCTGGAGGGAGGCAGTGCGAGCAGAGCTATCACCTAAATGACTAGAGGTTCTCTATGCCCCTCGAGGTAACAACAACAATATAGTATTTTGCAGAACAGTTGCTTCTCAGTGCTGCACAGTATTCCATTGCATAAACGTACTACTTTTCTAGTCCATTTGTTTCTAGGGAGCTCTGGTGGCCTAGTAGCAAGAAGCTGCACTGCAATTCCAAAGGCACATGGTTTGAGGCCACCAGCTGCTCCGAGGGAAAAGGATGGGCAATCTCCTATGTAATCAACTGCCCCTGGAAACCCACTGGAGGGTCAGCTATGGGTCGGTTCCGACTCTATGGTACACAACAACAACTGTACATATGACAGCTCACAACCACCACCCTGCCACCCCCAGCCTCACCTCCCCAAAATGCCCCAGAAGCTGGTCTCTGCAAACTCCAGGACCTCTGGCCTTGGAGCACCAACCTGGTCCAACCCTGACTTCTGCCACCAACCTGGTCCAACCCTGACTTCCGCCACCAACCTGGTCCAACCCTGACTTCCGCCACCAACCTGGTCCAACCCTGACTTCCGCCACCAACCTGGTCCAACCCTGACTTCTGCCACCAACCTGGTCCAACCTTGACTTCCCTAAGAAATGGGTGTTGGAGCCCCAGGCAAGAACCCAACATCTTGCTAGGATTCTCCTGAGGGCTCATCATGCAAACCTCCCAGGCCCTGGCAGACCCCATCCAGCCTCCACGCACCTCAAAGAGGCCAGCGTTGGCATCGAAACAGCTGGGGTAGAGGATGGCGTCCTCCCGCTGGTGGAAGCAGGCGATCTTTGCTTCCAGGTTCTTGTGGATGTTCTGAAGAAAAGGAACAAGACAGGAGTTAACGCCTGTGGGGCCACGTGGGTGTAGATCTGAGGACAGGCGCTTAGAAGGCCACAAACAGAGCCTGGCCAGCAGCTCCACACCAGGGTCACCCCAGAGGCGACAGGGCCAAGGCAGATGAATTCTGTGAGTGACTGGGGGCTGGCTAGATTCCTCTCCCTTCCCTGCCATTCATTTCGTAACGAGGGCTAATGGAGTCATTTTAAGTACTGCGAGGAAGAAAAAAAATGTTTTTCCTCCTGTCCAGCTGAGTGCCATTTTTGGTGGTTTAACGGCAAAGAAAACTACTTAAGTAATTGTGGTCCATTTGGGTCTCTAAGTGTTGGGTTGGAAAGCTGCTGAGTTGCGCTGAGGATGGTGTTAGAACATGCCCCAGCTGGCAGTGAGGGGCCCCCCGCTCTCGCCTCCAGGTTTTGGAAAGGACAGGGACCCTGATGTCACAGCAGACTTCTGACTCTGTGCATCCCGACGGGCTGTGTACCTCTCATTTCACTTCCCTGGGCCTCAACTCTAAAACGAGGTGAAGAACAGCACCCATCCATCACACAGGACCAAGTGCTGCTAATCCAATTGTGGTGCCTTTCTGGGTTTTTTGTGGTTTTGTGTGTGTGTGTGTACCAGCGAGTGGGATCTATCTGATTGGCACAGGATATCGTCCTTCCTTCTCCAATAGAACATCTGGTGGATTTGAATCTGAGGTGCCTTTCTGGAGGTTCAAATCCACCAACGGCTCTGTGAGAGAGAGATGGGTCATCTCCTCTCCTGAGATTTACAGCCTCTGAAAATCTGCCGGAAGGGTCTACAGTGAGGGGGTTCCGACTTGATGGCAATGAGGGAGTGTCAGTAAGTATTTGTAACATACAGGAAACAGTACCCTTGGTACCAGCAATCGGGGAAATAAGGTGACACATTCCACTGAGAAAATCTGCAGTTAGGGACCTCTCCAGATTACTGAGGAGTAATGATGTCAGCTTGAGGAGTGCGTCTGATTCAGACCACAGTATTTCCAATCACTTGATATGCATCTGAGGCTGGACAATGACTAAGGATGACAGAAGAACTGATACCTTTGAGCTATGGTGTTGGAGAGTAACACTGAACATCCCATGGACGGCCAAGAGAACAGACATTTCTTGGAGAGGGTGCAGCCAGAGTGCTCTTTGGAGGCAAGAATGATGAGGCTTCGCCTCACTTACTTTGGGTATGTTGCTAAGAGGGGCTATTCCTTGGAGAAGGACATGATGCTTGGAAGGGTGGAGGGTCAGCGAAGGAGAGGAAGACCCTCAACCAGGTGGATTGACACGGTGACTGCTGCAATGCGCTCTGATGTCTTAGAAGTGTGAGGATGGCTCAGGACAGAACAGGGTTCACATTTTTTTTTGTTCATAGGGTTGCTATGATTCGTATTTGACTCGATGGCACCTAACAACAACAGCAGCAGCAATGCCACAACCACCACAGGAAACAGTCCCTGGGCCCAAATAAGATATTATTTAAGTTTCATGTCAAAGACCTCTCTACAGAATAAAAGAGCTAGCATTTATTGGACTTCTTCAGTGCCTGGTTATGTACGCCAGGCTGTTGATGGAGACGTCAGCAGTTTGGATCTGTCACTCACCCCTCCAGGTGCAAGGTGAGCACTCTCTTCCCACGAAGGTTTGTAGCCCTGGAGATCTGATGCAGGGCCACCACAGGTCAGAAACAATGTGACAGCCAGGAGTCTGACATGCTCTGCTGGCGTCGGGGTTAAAGCACTCAGCGGCTGAACCAAAGGTCAGCGGTTTGAAGCCACCAGCCGCTCCACAGGAGGGAGGTGAGGCAGCATGCTTTCGTTAAGATTCACTCACGTCTGAGGAGTCTGCTCTGACCCATATGGACCCTCCATTGGGTGTGTGAAGGGGAGTGGACTGGCCGCCTTTCTTCCTCAGGGCTCTTGGTGGATTTGAGCAGCTGGAGGTGCGCTGCCTCTGGGATAGCAGTGAGTGCATAGGCTCAGAGTGAGTCAGAGTTGGCTTGTGGGGTGGATACGGTGGATGTACCCCGCCCTGGCCTGAGGCGGGGTATGCTACTGTGATGCTGTCGAGTCAGAATCGACCCTTCAGGTTTTCAGAGGCAGCAAATCCCATGGGACGAGACTGCCTATCTTTCTCCTTTGGAGCAGCTGGTGGATTCACACTGCCCGCCTGTGGGAGGTGCAGCTTCTTACCACTAGGCCAGCAGAGCACCTCCTTTTATGTATATTTGATTCTCTAAAGGTGCAGCTTCTTACCACTAGGCCAGCAGAGCACCTCCTTTTATGTATATTTGATTCTCTAATTTTTTTTTAAATTTCATTTTATTATTTTTTGTGAATGTACCCTCAAATCGGATCTGACAGGCACAGGAGGAAATTGTCCCTCCTTCTCCAGCAGAGCATCTGGTGAATTTGAACAGTGCACCCCTGGGTGATTCTCTAATTTGTAACAATCCTATTTAGAGTTATTAGTTACAATTTTCCCAACAAAGGAGATTAAAGCACAGAGCTAACAAATGGCAGAGTGGGGAACCAAGTTGAGGACCCTCTGTCCCAAACCCTGCCTTCTACCCCTTCCTCTCTCACAGGCGTACAGGTGTGATGAGCCCTGTTCTACAGGTGGGGGAATAGATGCCCACAGAAGTCCAAGTCCAACATTTCTTGCCAGCTACCTCTGAGCCCAGAGCTCAGGGAGACACCAAGCTGGCTAAACCCGCCCTGCTGAGCACCTGAAGTGGACAGCTGAGACCCGAGCCCTCCGGCCCTCTTGGTACCTGGGTCCCACAGATGAAGCGGACAGAGCTGAGGCCGGCTCCAAACTCCTCCAAGGCCTGCAGGCCGGCTTGGATCACCTCAGGGTGGCTGCTCAGGCCCAGGTAGTTGTTGGCACAGAAGTTAAGGATTCCTGAGGTGGAGGAGAGGAGGCAGGCAAAGCTCAGAGTGTGCCAGGGCCTGGAGCGATGGCAATGCCAGGCCCCGACTGAGAGGAGAAATGGACCTGGTCTGCCTTTGAAGAGCTAACAAGCACACAGTAGGGTGTGTCCTGGCTGAAGAAACCATGCATATCACAGAGAGAGAGGGTGCCTGGGACCCCTCTTTGCGTTGCTCCCTGGAGAAGTTACTCTGGCTGTGAGTAACCTTCTGCATGGTTTCTCCTGCCTCTGACATTCTCATCTGGGCCTCGGTTTCCCCAATGGTGAAGAAAAAGGTAAGTTCAGAGGTGGTCCTCAAGCATCATTCAGGTTATTTAGCCACCTAGCATAGAACTGAATCCAAAAGTGGGTGCCTTGGCTTGGCCCCTGATTTCTGAAACGGTGGCCTCAAGGAGCAAACTGTGGCCAGAGGAGAAGATTCACACAGCCTGGGAGAGACAGACACTGAGTGAGAACTAGGGTCTCCTCACTTCCCATCTTCTCACCCCCTCTAGGAAGGCTGGGGCAGCAAGGATCCCTGGGACTTCTGTTTTACAGATGAGAATAGTATAGTGCAGGACAGCGTCTGTGCCCCATTCCTGGGCAGAAGGAGCTTGACAAGAGGGAAGCCTGGCTGGCGTTGCTCCTTTCGGTCACTGTGACTTTGGCAAAAAAACCGAGCCCTCTGGTCATCTAGCAACCTGCCCAGTTCCAAGATCCCAGAGGGCTGAGACTCAGGCCAGCTCTGCCTGGCGCTGGCTGAGGACTTAGTGCAAGCCATTTCAGATCGCTGAACTTCAGCTTCTTCATGTGTGAGATGAGCTTGATTACTCAACCTCAAGTTTTGCAGGGCTCCACATGCAACAATTACCAGAGGCCTTCACAAAGCAGCCTCTCAAGAAATGCAAGTTTTCTCACTGCCGCCTACACACCACCCTTCCAAGTGTTTAAGGGTGCCACCTGCCTGGGTTCCTCTTTTATCTCACTGCCTTGAGCTCAAGGGCAGATCACCTGCCGCTCTGGAAACTGGTTTAACCAGGCTAAAGTAAATACTGGAGACCCACGATAAAGCTTTGGTGGAAAGGGGACCAGAGGCTACGTGTGCCGGTGGTGTCCCCTCCACGGCATCCACGCTCGCTTTCCACCGCAGCGCGGGCCCTCGAATGCCCCGGCAGGGCAGAGGGGGTGTTACCTCCTGAGACTCCGTCCACGTGGATGTGGGGCCCCTGGCGGGATGTAATCACCCGCTCGCTCTTCCAGGTGCCAGCCTCGCGGATGCCCTCCAGCTCCCCTTCCAGGACGCGGCGCAGTTGGGCCAGCGCCGACTGCGCCCGGTGGCCGAAGGGGGCCCCGGGGCGCGCAGCGCGCAGCACGCGCGCAGCCCACATAGCTTGCGCCCGCCCGCACCCACTCGCACCCTGCGCGCAGCGGCGCGGTCACGTGCTGGGGGCCGGGCCCCGATAGCCAATCGGGGGCTGGGGGGGCGTGGCGAGAGGAGCGGGCCCGGATTGGAGCTGAGCGCGGGGAGGGCGGTCCCAGGGCCGGGCGGGGCGCAACAGGACCCTCCAGACTCCCTCTTTACTCCCACCCCCCTCCTCTGCCTCTAGACTCCCCTCTAGGGAAGGGGCGCGCTCTGGACCCCAGAAGCATGTTCCATACCCTGCGGGTTTCCCACTTTTGGCCGCGCTTTTGAAATCTGTCCCCCATTCTCCAGGGCAAAGGTCTCCAGAAGCCCCCCCCCCCCGACTTCTCGCCTCAAACGTAAGAAAAAGAATACACACATTCTTTCCCGCCCCCCCAAATTTTATTTTAAAGTCTAAAAATTACAAAGACAGCAAGTTCTTCCCGGCACAAAGAACACTTAACCAAAAAAAAAAAAACAAACCAAAACCAAAAAAACCCCTTTCCTATTTTATGAAAAATAACTGTACAGATTTTTTTCTCCTAGCTCCTGGATGTAAAATATAAGTACTAGCACTAAATATATGCATATATATATATATGTATATATGTACACACATAGGTCTAACTGTAAAACTACTCAGCAAATTCAAAATTGACTGCAGTATGTCTGATGTCCACTCCTCCCCGCCCACTGCCTCCCAACCCCATCTACAGCTACATAGAAAAGACAAGTAAAAAGAGGTGTCGAGGTTTCTAGTGTCTGGTGTCCCCAGGAGAGCTCTGCGCCAAACCTAGCAGAGCCATCTCCTTGCAGAGGCAACGGAACACGGAGGGGAGGGGATTCCTTGTAGGATACAACTTACCAATTACATGGAAAAACCCAGGTATCAAGGGGCCATACAGAGGCACTTGGCTGACTGACTTCCCCACCCTTCCCACAAAGTTTCCACTCCTTTTTTCCGTGGGACTTTTCCAAAGTCACCCTCCATCTCCAATGGTGAGCTCTTGACTAGCAGAAGAGGGATCCAACTTTCTCCCCTCGAAGTCAGTTCTGTCTTCCCTCACCCCCTAAACAAGAGACCACTGGGCTACCAAGTCATGACAGGAAATTGGATTTGCACCCAACTTATTCTCCCCTCTTTGCATCTCTGCCTCCCATAGTCTGGCTCATTAAAGGTTCTGAAGTTCCCAAGGATGTCCAATTTCCAGAACATCCACTTGCCTTAAAGATGACTCCTATACATCAGTCCCTTTTGCTAGCCAGAAGGGCCACCTCACCCATTCTCTCAACCCTGATCTAACTTCATAACAAACCAACCACCCAGATCCCCAAACCCATAAGTAGCTTAATAAGAAGTTACCAAAAGTAAGAACATGCTCATCTTTAGAGATGAGATTCATTGTTGCTGTCGTTGTAAGATAAAGAAAAAAGTTGACAAGTCCCAGTTCTGTCTCTTTAGAAAGTCACATATAAGGAGACCAAAGGGTTGCAGATGATGATCATGGGAGAAGAAAGGTACAAAGTATTTACAAAGGAAGAGACAGAAAGGAGTGTCCAAGGAGAAAGGCCTCATTGTCACTTCTTCTTGCTGGACCTCTTGGCACTGGACTTGGCTTTGGGCTTCACTGATTTGGCCTTCTTGGGCTTGGATGCCTTCACCGGCTTGGCCTTGACAGTCTTGGGCTTTTTGGCTTTCTTGGGTGTGGCAACCAGCTTCTTCTTGGCTTTCTTGGCTGGGGTGGCTTTGGGCTTCTTACTGGGCGCTCTGGAGGCAGCCTTCTTGGGTTTGGCTGCCTTCTTTGGGGTGGCCACCTTCTTGACTTCCTTCTTGGTCTTCTTGAAGGCCACCGATCTCTTGGGCTCATCGCTCTTGGCCAGCCGGAAGGAGCCTGAGGCACCCACCCCTTTGGTCTGCTTGAGGACCCCGGTGGTGACCAGGCGCTTGATGGACAACTTGATCTGGGAGTCTGCATTCTCTCCCACCTTGTAGTGGCTCTTGATGTATTTCTGGATGGACTGGCGCGAAGAGCCAGCCCGGTTCTTCTCCGCCTGGATGGCAGCCACGATCATGTCTGAATACTTGGGGTGGTCGGTGGACTTCTTGGAGGCCTTGGCCCTCTTGGGCTTGGCCGTAGGGGCAGAGGTAGAGTTCTCAGTCATGGCAGTCCGCCTGGTCCGTCAGTGGATTGAAGAAGGTGCTTCCACTGGAGTCAGTGCCCGGTGGAGAGCAGGAGTAGCCGGGCTGGGGGTCTGCTCTCGCCCTGACCACCAGGCCAGCCCGGGTCCGGCTGGCTCCCTCTCCGGCAGGCGCGGGTCGCGGGAAGGCCGGCTGGCAGTCTACGTGGCCCGGCCCCGCCGCTCCGCCGCTCCGTCGCTCGCTCGCAGCGCCCGGCTGTGGCTGTGCCTCCGCCTCCTCCGCCTCCCTTTCCCAGCTCGGCGTCTGGCGCGCTGGCGGCGCATCCGGGTATTTAGCGGCGGCGGGCGGACCGCGGTGAGGACAGGACTGCTGGCTGCCTGCTCCCGGCCGGGAATGGCGGCGCGGCGCCGCCATCTGTGTTTCTTCTGCTGAGCAAATGCGACCTTTCCCCTCGGCCTGGGCTTTCTCGCGCTCCGCCACCGCCTGGGGCCGCTGCCTGGGACCCTGGGCTCTCCTTCTGGGTGGTCAGCCGGCCTGGCCGCTGCCCCCCGCGCCCGCCCTGCGACCCAAACGGCGCTGAGGACCGCTGGCACGCCAGCACATTTCCCCTTTGCGGGGGGCTGGCTCCGCGGGGCTGGGGAGCCCCGGTGCAGAGACCCCACCAGAGCAAAGCCCTCTCCTGGGGCTAGCTGGGGACCCCACTTAAGGGTCGCTGCGGGGTCCCCCAACTGGGTAGAGCGGCCGAAAAGCGGCCCCAACTAACACACGAGGTCCCGAGTCGGGCGACTCCCAGCCGGGCCGAGCCGGGACGGGGGGAGGGGTCGCTCCCCCGGGGACGGGTCACCTCTCGGGGGTCCCCCCACCACCAGGCCTCCCACACTTCTAGCCCCCCTCCGTCTTTGAGGGCCCCAAGTAAACTTTCCCTGGAAGAGTTGGAAAGGCACTTTCAAACTTTGTCCCTTCCCCCTCCTCTGCTGTATTTCCCCTCGGGGCGCCCCCAGACCTCTTTGTCGAGGTTCGGTCTTGAGCATGCACCCCTAATGCTACCTGGGCCCTCTGACGGCTGGGGGAGAGATCTCTAGGGTCCCTTCCTGTCCTCAAAGACCCCCTCCATCTCCCTCAATCTAATTGGCAATTCCTTTATACGCCTTCCTCAACCTGGGAATTTTAGGGTGTCAGAGGCAGAACTCGCAGCGCCTAGCCCTTGAGGCTCAGCCTGGGGGTTCATCCCCTCCCCCAAAAGCCCCTTGAAAGACTTTTTGGGTGGTGGTCCACTGTGGAGGATTTGCACCAAACCCTTTAACCTGACACTGTCCTGGGGCCCCAGGGATGCGGAGAGGCCATGGGTGTTTTAGGGGCGTGGGAAAGTGGGGCACTACAAGAACAGGGGAGAAGGGGGTCGCATTCTTTGGTTCCTGACTAGTCCCTGGAGAGGGTGCAGTTGTTTAGAGCCGGGACCACCGCCATTTTGCTGGGAGGATGCGGTCTTTGTTGAAGTGTGTGGACATCTTTTCGCGTGCTGCCTGGCAGGTAGAGACGAGGCAGGCGTCCGCGGTGGGGCGCCCCTGTCTTAGGGGCGTCTTGAGGTTCTGGGGGGCTTTAACAATCCAGAATCCTTTGGAAGGGACCTCAGGACCCCCATTTACCGCAGATTTCCGATTTGCACCAGGTCCTGCTTGAGCGTGGGATTGGATTCTTGGAGGCTGGCTCTGAGTCTCCCCAACCCTGAAATCCCTATAAGCGCGGAGCCCGTCACTCTTCACATAAAACAATACCCCAGGAGTAGGGTGACATAGCCTGTCAAGGAGATGCACGCCTGGGGGCTCTGGGCGGCAGCCGGGGAGCAGCAGCCGGAGAGATTTGGGGTTCATTGGGGTGAACTGATCCTAACACGCGAAGCTGGAGTCTGAGCCCCGGACACATTAATGGGTTTATCCCTCGGATCAAAGGATGTATTACACAGAAGACACGGGTAGGGAGGAGGAAAGGGGGGCCTGCGGTCACTCGGGGTATCAGGCTTTCTCTCTGGGCTTATCTCGGTGGCACAGGCGAGGAAGGGAAACGATGAAAGGCCAGGTTAGTTCAAAAGGTCAGAGTGCAAGTTTAGACTGTGTTAATCCTGAAGTTTCCAGATCTGAAAACACAGCATCCTGGTGGGTTTGTTTTGGTCATTTTCAAAGACAATTCTCTGGCCGCTAAATTCTGATGGAGAAATAAATGGGCGTCTGAGAGGTCATTCCACTCGCGCCCCCGAGACGTCTCCCCAAAGTCTTAGAATAAGGATTGGATGAGTCCAAAGACACGTTGAGATTATTTTATTTGCACGTACATATCATTATTTCCCGAACTACTCGTCCTCCTTTCTAGCTCTTCTGCGCCTCCTGGTCACCCTCACGTTACCGCGGAGGGTAACGGAGGTCGCTGGGGCTTGCAAGATGGGTGCAGCTGGGGGACACTTGGGTCTCTGCGACCCCAACAGGCTTTCCATTTTTGTGGGACCCCACGCATCCCTCATCCCAGCGACCTGAAATCCTCTCCTGGAACCGAAGCCAGGAATGGGGGGCGGGGCGCCCCGAGTCCGGGTGCTGTCTGCGGCCGCCGCCCCCCGGGTCGCCACGCGGCGGGCCTCGCCCCTCCCCCGGGGCTGCAGATTGGCGGGGGCGGGATGGGATCCCCGGGTTTGCGCGCAGAGAGCCAGCCCTGGCGCGGGGAGGACGGAGCTGGCGTGGCCGCGCCCCGGAGTCCAGACAGGGGGTGTGAGGGGTTCCGGTCGCCCGCCAAGGCTCCCGCCGACGGCACCGGGGTCCCGGGGAGCGCAGACCCGCTTTCCGGCCGGCGGCACGCCCCCTCCGCCTTCACGCAGGTCCGGT